GCCATTATGCTAACTGCTGGTCCCTGGATGCAGCACTTTTATTGTTTAAAAAATGTGAGCCATTAGCACTAAACATTACATCTCTGCCTTCTCAGTTTTTATTTTCTTTTTTATTCTCCATATTCCCAATTTAATATATTGTTTGTGTCTGTGTATTTATAAAATTTTATTTAATTTTCTTTTTAAAAGGTTCTGTTACTCATTTTTCATATTCAAATTTATTAACTATTCTTAATGAATTAATTATTAGCTACAATTTTAATTTAAATAATAATATACTTTCATTTATCTTAGTTCCACTTTATTTTTTAAAATATACCTGTCTAATAATTATTTTCACACTTTTTACATTTTTAAATTTTTTTCTGGTGAATTTTTAAACATATGGTTCATATTTTTTGACAACTCAAGCTCAAAAGTCATAATGTATAAAATTCTTGCACAATGAGAATTTAACAAATATTTTTAAATTGAGAACATATTTGCATGCTTGTAGCTTAACACCTATATTTATTTATTTATTTATTTATTTATTTATTTATTTATTTTTGGAGAGGTTTTAGCTATAGTGCATGTGCTCTCACCAGAAAGACAGAGAGAGACAGAGAGACAGAAAGTGAGAAATCGCCCCCCCCACTGGGATGGCCATGCCACAATCCTTTCTCCTGCATTCTCTTCTCAGGATCTTGGGCATGCACGTGCATGTGCCTAGCATGAGTTGAAGCCACCAGGTCCGGGACTCAAACTGGTAGTCCAGTGACATAGCCATTATACTAACTGCTGGTCCCAGCACCTATAATTATATTAACAAGTAATCCATTGGTGTCTTAGAGGTAATATAGAATAATTTACTAACTCAAAATGAGAAAAAATCACATATAAGTAAAATCATGCGTAATTATGATGAAATAAATTTGAATACATAATACAACATTATTGAGACATTATATTTATTAACTTATTGACATAGTTTAATAATATTATTTAAAGTTGCCAAAAATAGTATCAATAGATATTGCCTCAATAACTGCTTACAAATAGTCTAGTTCATTTTCTTAAATCAATTTATTTATTGAATTTATATTCCAGCACTTTCATAGGTAGTAAAATTTTAATAGTAGCATAAGTTAATATTAACAGATAAAAAATACCTTCAAGCCAGTAAAACAAAATTAAAATCATTTTAGAAAACAGTGTGTGACCTGGCAAGATCTCAATCAAACAAATTAAAAGATGAAGATTTTTATCACCTTTTCCAATCAGTTGTGGATGGGCTTCAGAGGTGGATCATGGCCTTTGGCTAATAAGTACTGGCCAGTGTCAAAGTCAAAGTTTCATGCTCCATCATGGGGTGAACTATTCAAAAATGAATTAATTACCTGTTGATGATAACATGTACAGTATTCTCAACTG